TTGTATACTGATAATACAATTAGTTTCATTACATTTAATTTTATTGAGTTAAGAGGAAAATAATTCATGATTAAATAAGTGTAGAACAGTTGTATCAATTATGTTTTAGTATAGAAGCAAAAATTAAAATTTATGATTAACTACAGGTTTTTACTAAAAGTATTTTTTATATAATCTATACATAATAATATGTTTGTGTCATTTAATTTTTTTCAACATCGATTTTAAATCAGTATTTTTTTTTTTTTTTAATCATTTAACTTTGTCATTATATATTTATAATTTATTGTATATAATAAATGAAATATGCTTTTTAAATTTACACAAACTATATTTTTAACAATGACTATTATAATTTATATTTTGGTAATTGACATGAGCCAATTACATATTATTTAAATATAATGAACAAGTTTGCCAAATTTTGACACCTAGGTGGCTAGGTGTATCAAATATGTTGGTACACATTACCTCACTATGTCAACAGCGCCTGGTCGAACTTTTGGGTCACGGCCAGTAACAGAGACACTGGCAGAAAATGATCCATCTATGCTAAATACAACGGTTTCTGTTTGAGTTGGAACAATAGCTAACAGAAAATCTACACTTGTATGATCTCCTCTAAAAAATATAAAGTTATTTATTATAATAGTTTACATTGGAATTTGGAGTTATATAACGATATATTTACCTAACAACCATTTTAACTGGATATATTCCAAATCCAAGAGATTTATTTTCTGGTATTGTATAGGTGACTCGTCCATTTTTATCTGAATCTTCTGTAGTTAAATGTGTCCATTCACCATTACCAGGTTCCCTAATAATATGGATATCAACTTTTTCCCCTAAGAAAATATTATAATATTTTAACAAATGTAAAAAATAAAAAAATAAAAACAAATACACACCAGCCAATGAAAACATATCAAATGGTCCATAAATAAAACGAGCACTAATTATCTGTGGCAAACCTTCTCGAATTATTACATCATTTGCTCGATGGCTTGCAGTAGAGTTCTGTATGTGATTAAAGTGATTAATACTTCTACCAAGATATATGTAACAGTTTATTATTAATTACTTTTATCTTAATGAAAGTCGTTTTACGCTGCCATTTTTCTCTAGGTTGACTGGGGCTAAAAGTAGCCAGTTCCTTTTCCTCATTTCCAATCGAACTATTATAGTCAAATATAGCAAACTGAAATTAAATATAAAATCAGTTCAGAATTTACAAAACTATTATAACATCTATTAAGTTTTATATTTTATTTTTACTTGTCTTAAAATAAATGCAATGACATCTGAGGATTCCCAATAGCTAGCATGAAATATATGAGGCAAAGCATTTGTGGGGAAATTTGACAATCCGTCAGGACAATACAAAGCATAGTCCAATCTCTTAGAACCCCACCATTTTTTTGTCACTAAAATAATAGACTCATTATATTGGGCAATGACAGTAGTTTAAAAATAACTTACATTTATTTATTGCTTGAATTGGAAGTGTATCACCTATCCCAGAAACTGTACTCAGAATACTTGCTTCAGACGTACGCCTGGCATGATTGTGTTCGGTAAACAATTGTGGATTTGTTTGCACTGCTTCTACTACACAGAAAGAATAATGAATAACAAAATATTTTAATCATTGTTCAGTCACTTACATAAATAGTATGGTTGTCCTGTTCCAAGAGGATATTTTTGATATCGAGGTATGTTAACAGGTGGCAGAATTGAAAATTTTGCAGAAATTAGTGGTTCTAATCTAGATGCGATAGGGTCAGATGGATGAAATAAATTGTAAACTTGTTGCAATGCTGGACGTTGAATTGAAGCTGCAATGGAATAAAACGATTTCAATTTTTTTGTAAGAAAAATACAAATATAATACATTTATTAATAAACACAGTAAGAACTTACTTGACTTATCATATTTATGTGCTGAAATTTTCCTAAATGCTAATACAAGTGACAACGGAGATGCAAACATAAACATTTCGTTAACTTCGAAGTCCAGGCATACATTACTGTCACTGAAATAATAATGATCATTAGTTTATATCCATGTAATACTAATACAATCTTGATTAAAAAAAAAAAATACCTTGTGGATGATGATCTTCTTCTAACTGGTGGAGTAACTAAAACCTTAAAAGAAGAGTCCATACTCCCTAGGGAAGTGCAATCATCTGAAATAATTTATTTTATACAACATTAATAAAAATCTTGAGTGTTTCATAATTTTTGTTTATACCATTGTCATTTTTTTTCGGCACATGTTCTGGAGTGCTATGTCTACTTGCATCGTGTGACGAATGAGAATCAGGACTTCTACACAAAGCATCATATCCTATTACAGATCCCATAGAATCTCCTATGGTCAAATTAAAATAAATAGGTAAACATAATAAATAAAAACTTATAAATCAAAATTAATTTTACAAACCTATAAAATAAACTCGGCCATTAAATCCAAAGCCTTCGTCTGACTTTATAAACTCTCGATATACTTGATTTGCCATACGGATAACATTAGATACTATGTCTTTATAATCATGCGAGCAACCTGCTAGTATAGGAATAGCACCTATTGGGACGGAATCATGTGTAATATTTGTGCATTCTATACCAGACGGAGATACATCAAAACTGTAAGGACTCAACCTAAAAATAATACATAAATTGTTAAATAAATTATTAAAACATAGTTAAAATGTATAATATTACTTTGATAATACACTAAGTCCTTCAGCACATATAGACGGACAAGGAATAAGTCTCATCGCAACATGACCAATCATACTTGGGTAGTGTTGTCGCATTACTGATTCAAATGCTCCCCTAAATGTAGTGAAATCTGATTTCTTTGCCATTATATCAGAATTAGCATCTAAAATATTAATTATTTAAGTGAATACATTTATTAATTTATATGAATATATTACTTACCTAGAACACTACCAGAATGTATAATCATCAAAAGTGTACTTATTTGACAGTTATTTTCTTTACCAATTACTGGAGAACCTGGACATGTGTCAACACTGTGACCACGCTGAATGAAAGGAGAAGACTTTTTATATGTAGGAGAAAATATACTATCTTCTGTGAACAATATATTTTTTAATGCATTTTTATTAGATATTAATAATTTCTCATTAAAAATATTTTCCAATGACATAAGTTTAAGATTTCTAATAGTACCTTCTTTGTCAGGAATACTGGATGAATCATATTCTTGTTCATTAAGTATTGTTAAGGAACTCCATTTAGAGAGAGAAACAATTTCTGAAGTCGGTAATGTTTCTGAAAATAAAAGTTTAATGTAAACAAAATAACATTGGGCTTTTATAACTATACAAATTATTTTCTAAAGTTATCCATAAAAGATGTTACCATAAAACATATGCAATGTTTCTCTATTTCAGGTTTGTCCCACTGTTGGGCCTCGAACAAATTTTTGGTGGGTCACAAGAAGCTTATTTTTTTGTATAAACTATAAATTATAAAGTATTATAAATCCCAAAAATTAGACAGAAAACTTCATACCATTCCTAT